ATCCCAGGAAACACTTATGTACCTTCATAATGCTTTCTACACACATATAATGTGTTACGATACAGTCATGTGACAGCTGTATTTCGTAAAACTTGTGGAATCGCCTAAATACTTCTCTTTCGCAACGAATTCATGACCGCCAACTCAAGAGTTACGAGTGACTGTCTCACAAAGAATCTTGATATAGAAGGTCTGTCTACAGTTACTGTCTGGTAAAAACGTGTTTTATACCATGTGATTATCGCAGATAGATTTCCGGTCCCACTTTTAGGGGGATATTATCGTTGGTTACCAAGTATTTGGAGCTGCTGTTTAGTTTAACTTTCCTTTGAAGTACGTATTCTGTACTTCAGAAAACTCAGCTGCAAAGTTGCCTGATGTCATTCTTGATGGATTTTTGAGTTTCCAACATAACTGATCAAAGTCTATTAGTACCGTAGTTTACATCACGTTAAGTGGTGTCCTGATATTATTATAATATGATTTTCGGCTACACGTGACCCTCTGAAGTCTGGCAAACCATGCAGGCGGACTCAGTAAGTAATGCGATTCCTCTTATAGTTCGGTTTTTGCAGTACTCAGCAAGCCTCAGCGCTAATTTCGGCAGACGCACAGCGAAATCGGCTAGGCGGCTAACTCAAGGAAAACGTGATGCCACCGGATACACATCCAGATACACGTCAAGTGCCTTTAGTTGCGTTGTCATGTCACAGCTGTAAAGTAAATTTGATCACCCATTGGACTATTTCCAACTCTATAATAGATGAGGAGAGACTGATGTTACAACTTCGCGAATCTCAGGATAGTAGAAAGAAAGAAATCTTGCGTCGTCTAAAGAGCAGACTGAGATGAATTCATCAAAACTGAGGGAGGATTAGAGCTGCGCTTCCTCCCCAGATGACAATAACAGCAGCGGTTTTGAAACTAATCACGTTCCTGGAAGAATCGATAAGTTAGGTATCTTTTTCTCGTTTCTAAGGTGAAAACATGTGGGCCAAGTTCTTTGCGCTTGTTGGATTATTGTAACTGTAAGGCCAAAATGGTCATAGAATAATACATCTTGCCTTAGTCATTTTCGAGTTGTCCTATAGCACTTGATATACTGAAGGTGCTCTCTGAAAGGACGTATGAAATTAGCCGGGATTTGTTTACCGGAATGTTCGAAGGTAAAGCGTAGCAATACTAAAGCTATGTAAAACCCAGCTATAAGATTTTAAACTCTAGAAGAAATGGATTTTTCTTCAGATCGAAATTCACAGGGTGCACAGTAACAAAACCGCCATCTATATTGCAGACCGAATGAAGAAAAACTGTAGAAGACAATAGAGAAAATAGTTGTGAGCCTACATTTTCTGAAGTGATAGCATGTTTCTGCTCACCAAAGTACCTTACTTACCAGATTTGGAGAGTCGGCGACCAATAGCCGAAGAAGCATTAGTAAGAATACTCATTCTACACAACCGTTCGCACTTTGTGTGGTTAATATGTCGACTAGGGTAGATAATAAGCTTTGCGCATTGAGTAAAGGAAGCCACATAGTCAGTGAATGCTGGTTATGCTTGCGAACTCATTCAAATGAGCAGCCTTCGTAGTCGAGGAGGTGGGTCTCAGTTCTTTATTCTCACCTTGAGCAATTTTCCTAGTGCACTTACCACTGATGGCTTAAAGAATGCCACCACCAACTCTTGCATTGACCAGAGAGGTCACTTGAAGCGTCAAATGAACAACCGCCGAAGAGTAGTCCTGAGTATATCCAGTCATTTAATGTCTGAGACGCTTGTTAGGCTGCCTGGACTACTTCGATCTCGTTTCCGATTGGCTTCAACTAAAAATAACGCTCACAGTTGTTACTCAGGCCATCTATCCTGCTAGACCTGAGCTATGGCCACACTACCTACTAACTACCTACTGTAGCACCTAACCTTTTGGCCAGCTAGAACACAACCCTTGTGGCAGTTCAAGGATCTATTTATTAACAGTGGTATACAGTCAAACTCTTTTGTTCCTTGAAAACCCACTTTTCTGCAGTCTGATACGGTAAGCACAGGTAAATAAATTGACCGCTGAAGCAGAAATGGGTGGCATTCAGTCGAATGAATGAACTCTTTTGATCCTCAAGGAAAGAATATATTTGAGCCTATTACTCAAACACCTAAAATATTGCAGTAAGGAAGTCCATTGGTATTCATTTTTAGATAGCGGTCCAGATACAACTCTGACCAGGCCAAGAGAATTCTAGATCCGTTATCGGGTGCAGAAAGGTATACTACCAAAACGGTTAGCTGTTGAAGGACTAAGTGAGCATATGAACCCTTGAAGTCCATTCACCTAGTAGGAATGAAATTATAATAGTTAACAACTCCACTGTTGTGAAAAAGCTTTCAGAATACGGACCAGAAATACCCATCAAGGAAAGCGCTGTGCAGCCACTTCATCTTGCAGACATGTCTAGACCGAAGTTGGGCGGCCAATAGGTGTTTTCATGCATCAGGTATGACATGCCTACTAGGTGTAAGGAAACATCCCAATGTCATCAACAGACTTTGCAAGGTAAGGTTCTCTGACGACCAATGGACTGTAGGCAGTATAGTGAAATAGCCGCAAACTGCTTGTCCCGAAACAACAGCTCCTGCGACACAAATGACGAAATCCTATTTGGGGAATGCGCCGCGAAGCTTTTCATGGATGTAGTGTTTTGCAGTGAATTCAGCCTCCAGAACCTAGGAAGGCGACCAAACGGTATGCAGGAACTTGTGCTTATGGAAACGTGTATTTTACATTGGACCTATCGTGTGTGCTTAATAAAAGCTATTTAAGAAGTAACCTAGAAGTTGGTTTTAATATTAATGGATTTGACGAACGAGTTTGTCATAGGTACGATTCTCTAGATTAAGTATAAAGATGTTATTGATAAACGTTTAACCAAAAGTTACCTAAAATGGGTGATAAAATTCAAGCAAACTAACAAAGTGGTATCTTTCTCGTTATCAGGCTCCTAGTCCAAAAATCGAAATATAGTGGTTCAGTCCGGAATGAAGCCTCTCCTAGTTTACTGGTTTCACAGTTTACTAGAATGTACTGCGCCCCGAAAAGATGGAAGGTTGGGCATAAAGCTAGCCAACACACTCTGTAAAATCAGTTCAGCCTCTACGGAAAATCCAAAGTACAGAGAAAATATAAAAAGTCGGATTATTCTTCGATTAAAACAGATAGACCAAATGATGCGGGCTGGTGAAAGCCCCTGGGAAGTCAGTCAGTGTAAGCTTTTTAAATGGAATTAAATAAGGCATGGAAGCATAGAATATTCGAACTATTCTCCAGACTGGGAAGATTATTGAGATAGCCGAAGAGATATGATACGGTGTAGGAGTGCTCAGAATCTGTGTGAGCAAATGGAATGGTAGTGCACTGTCCGAACTAGGAAATGGAGATTCACGCGGATGACCACAAGTCTGCATGGAGACTATTTGAGATTTTTATGTGTGAACTGTGTTCCTTTCAGCAAATTGTCAGAACTTAGGGTAGCAGTTAACTCGTATGGTCTCAGTTCTCCATTTTGCGCTAATTCTCGTTAGTTAATTTTAATTTTATTATGGCTTAGATCTATGCCGTATCTTGGTGCCACTATGGAATTTTCAGCGTGTGACATCGGTGGCCCATATTTAGCGAGCCGACCATTGGTATCAGGTGTGCGTTGGCCCGGGATCGAACTCCGAAAATGCATACACTTTCGAAGCCTTTCTGACCATACATCTTCGGATTTGACTCATTTCATTTGCCACTTTAAAAAATTTGGCGATGAATGCTTGATGTGAGATTCGGATCCAGTGATGTGATTTAAAGTTAGGGGGAGAGAGTTTCCACGAGCTCTCCTTTGAGAACCCTCCTAGTTTATATCTTCTTGAGGAGCTTAATTAACGGTCGACTGAAAACATCGTCTCTAGTCTGAACTTAGATGACGCATTTATCACTTGTGATGAAGGGTACAATGTTGTTTATCTCCTCAGGCAATTTAACTGTTATCACATATTTAGATAAAGTAGGGAAGATTCGTAGCTAAGGTGGGAGGTTGTGTGAAGCTTTGCAAATAAACCGTCCAGCTCAGCGAACACAACTACATCAAAATCACACGTTTATAATTTGCACTTCTGAAGAAGGGAAAAGTATTTCGTTCCTCCTTCAGCATCATGTTAGACAGGAGTGGTGATGGATCATTTAAAATGTCAATCCATCAAAAGCTGTATTTTACTGGGCTGCTTGCCAACTCCAACATTGGGGTACCGTCAAGTGGAAACAGAGATCATATCCATGCCCTATGTTTACAATTTTGGAAATGTGTCCTAAAGTTACGAACAACAGTTTATTGATAAGCTTACGAACAACAGATATTGAATGACTTCTTATAGTCTTCGGAAATAATTATCTTCCAAGCAGCTTTATTGAAAGAATCATGAAGAAACATCACTGCTGGCAAAACCATAGTGCTAGAAGAGGCACTGAGTCTGGCTTTCAGAAGTCGTCCACCCAGGTGTGTCAAAATTACTTTTTATGTCTCTGATGGCCACCTGTTACTCTGTAGTCGAAGTATTATTCGACATTGCATGGAGGATAAATTACAGATTTTTTCCACCTATGCACGCGTGTACTAACTTATTTGCTCTTATGAAGTTCATTATATTAGGTGTTTTAGCCATGTTCCCTCGGGAATGTGTAGATGAATACCTCGATTTGGTTAATGAAGGAAGAACGTAAGATGTCAAAGTCTACAACTTCTGGATATCTACTTGAGTCAGATCAATGAACCCCAAGCGATTCATTTCCTATATACATATACATATTTATATAGATACATAAAACTATTTTACCTCATTCTATCTCATGTTTTCATTGGCCAAGCATATTTAAAATTGGCAGTAATATATTCCCCAGTTAGATTTTTTGGAAATGGCATAGTTAATTTTATTAAGGATTTCGTCTTCTTAGCGATTGTATATTGAACATGGCTGAACACTGAAGGTGTTGAAAAGAACAACCGGCGGCTAGTTGGGAATTTACGCGTGTTCTAATGGTTTGTGTATAATGTTGTCCACTTTAATGCTTATTTCCAGGCCAAGAGAACAAAAAAGGTTGGTATCGTTGGGAAGTACGGTGTTCGGTATGGTGCTTCTCTTAGAAAAACGATCAAGAAGCTCGAAGTTAGTCAGCACTCCAAGTACAACTGCCACTTTTGTGGGAAGGTATGTGGAAACTCTACTTCTGTCTCATCTCCTAGGATTCACTGAAAAGAAAAGCCGTCGGGATTTGGGAATGTAAAGCTTGCAAAAAAGTTCTTGCTGGAGGAGCTTACGTGTGCAGGTATGTTGCTTTATTCACAGACGTAACCTACCATTACTTTAGTACAACCGCTGCTGCCACTATCCGGGCTGCCATCAGACGTTTGAGAGATACACATGAAACATAAGCTGTATAAGTGAAAATATATGACGCGGTTCGTGAAAGTGTTAGTGTTTTTTATAATGAATCTGGCTATTGGAGCTGTACGCAATGCGTTTGTAGGTCAGACACGATTGTAAAACTGGTCTATGTTTACTGACATCCTTGTTAGGTTTTTATTGTAGAAGGAAAGTCCTTAGTTAAATGTGATCCCTCTGGCCGCCAATTAAGCTTACGTGTGTTGATGTGGAGGCAACATGCTGCATCAACTGCCCTGGATGATGTAAACGGGATAATTTTCAGTGCTTTACACTGCTGTTGCTCAGTGTCAGTCTCGGTAAACAAAATTTAATTGTTATATTCGCCCTGTGAGCGCCCCTTGAGAAACCTGGTTATTTCTTTCATAAAAGCTGGTGATCTGCAACCCTGATAAGTCAGCTGACTTCAAGCTTTAAGTAATTATCAGTTAATTCTTACCTATGCGTCGGTAATGCCTTTTTATGGTGAATGGCTATTTTACATACCTAAATTGAGTCCACTAAGTGCTGAAGTAATTGTGGTCGTTCTTAAAGAGAGCACTGGACGCTTAAAAACAGCAACAAAACTATAAAATAAGAGTTTGTAGCTGAAGTAATAAATTTGGTAATGAAAGAAACCTAAAAATATATTGCCACTATGCGCTGCACGAAGTCCTTTTGATCAGCGGTAGTGCCAGGCAGTGCTGAATCTAAACTGAGTGCTGAAACAACTCTGATTAGCAAACCCACTAGGTCCAGAGAGTGGCTAGGAAAAGCACAGAGTGCTAAATTAGTGCCAGTCATGCTGAAAATCAGCGCTGAGTTTTAGTCTGCGTATAATCAAACATTTTCGGAATTCACTCATTATAGGTTGTCAGAGTTAATTCAGAATTATGCAGATTTAATTCAGTATTGTAGTAAACTTGGATGTGAATACTTTTACAGATGTTTAGTATTGAGCAGTGATATGAATCTATAAAAAATGTAAGAGTAGTGCCCGTATAGTGGGGTCGAACAGGTCTGTTAAGTGCATTATTTATTCTTGAAAACTCAGCCTTGGATGTCAAGTGCTTGACGCTGCCACATTCCTCATAGATGAATATGTTAGGACATACAAATTACGGGATTTTGTGCCACGCTATAAGCTCTCGAAATATGGAGTGATACGTGTCCTCCTTAGCTAATTTATTTCTACTCTGTCGTAAATGAATTATATGTTTTACAGGTGAAAAATGTATTCTCGTTGTCCTTAGCGTGACAACAGGTCAGTTATACTGTGTTGACTGAGAGTTGATTACTGTGATGTATATTACTTCCTTATATGTGTAAACTGTAGTCTCAGCCAGGCGTTGAGTTTCTTCTACACAATTGATCTACCTACAACCTCGCCATAACTTGCAACAGTCCCAGCGGGTAGTAAATATTTAAGCCCACGTGGCTGCATTGAGGGAGATTCGTAGTTCTGTATTCCATAGCACTGACGCTCACCCTTTCGCTTTGGTGAGGTATTCACTCTGCTGGTAACTGCGTTGTCTACAAACGGACAGTGGCAACAATTATTTTGTAGATGTGAACTACACGAGACTCGGCTCCGAAAGCCCTAAGAAAGCATTTACTGACCTATGCACTATTATATCTCTCCGCGTGAATGTATATAATCCTGTCTAGGTTCTTGTTTCCTGTGCCATATCATGTATAACATATATCTACGCCAGCTGAACGAGTTCTGTCAACATTTTAACCTTCCTCGGTGCAGACAATAAAAGTTGGGACCAGTCACTGTCAAAACACGAACAGAATCTTAGTCTGTAGGAATTGTTTGTCTGGGCTTTGAAGACATGATTGTACAGATTACTGCCGGGGAGTTGTTTATACGAGTTGAACCACAACATTTGTGCAAGACGCCACCTGTATTTGATGTAAATATTAACTACCTGCCTTTGGAATGTCACCATCCTCCATTAGTTTGATTAGGTTTAGGAAATACGGACAGGTTTGAGTGAATGCGTTTCAAAACCTATGTATTGAGTTTGCGCTGTCCTACCGCGGTTATCATTTCGGGGGAATTACCCAGCACTTTCGACCAAGGGTGTGGTTCTGGGCAATCCCTAGATCTGTATTTGCTTCTGTGAGATGTTAGTGCGTTCTACCCATCAAAGGGCTAATAGCATTGATTGGATACTGTAGATGATACTTGACAGATTGCTCAACTTCTGGTAGGTATGCAGCTCCCTTATCCAAGGATTTGTAGTTCCTGGCTGTTATACTTAGTTTTTGTATAGGTCAAGAGACGCGGTTTTCAGTGGGTACAGCTGATAATGTTTGAATTTGCCAGTTTTTAACTTGGGCTTCAGCTTGTAAGAAGCGCACACGTACCAGTGGAGGATAAATCGCAACTCGATCAGCATGTAGAACCCTGTATGATTGCTAGTGGTTTTCGTTAAAGGGTGAATATGAGTCTCTTATGCAGTTAGCCTATCACTAACTGCAAGCCTACATACAATCTGACAAGCAATGCAACTAGGGAACTTCTTCAGGTCCCCCAATTACAATTGTGAAACTGTCGAAGCACTTTAACAAATATGTTTTCACATGGTGCTGTAAGTCTTCGCTGGGTTGTATTTTTGTCAGTGACATTTAATCGTGGTTCGGACTAAACCATGTAGTGGTGGTCAAGTCCTTAAGTAAGAATGGAGATACATTCTTTTAGCACCATATGTCTCGCGCCACTAAAAGGTATCCAAGGAAGTCGATACTTCCTCATTCGCAACACGGCGACTTGTTCATCAGTACTCGTGTTCTAATCGTAATACATTACTAGGTAAGTAGCAACTACACATGTCAGTCGTAGGAACTAAGTAAAAGATAGGCGGTTACTTTATTTCACCAATCGAGAAGCGACAGCAAGAATAATTTTAACTTTTCGACCAAAAATGCGTAATGACGAAATACTCCAGTGTTTTGGATGACATAAATCGCGTCTAAGTCCACTTTGACACAAATAAATGAATTATACTCTGGTGATGTTAAGACAATGGGATAGTGAGACGAAGAACTATAATCAGTACAAAAGGAAACAATATGCTGGTGAACATTTAAGGCATAAGATGGCGTCCAATCTAGTACTTTTGTTCACCGAGCTTACGACGCCATTTTCAGAAGTATTTCTTGGATAGTTGCAAATCGTACGATTAAGCAGTAATAACCATCCCTCAGTGAACTTCACCTAAGCTGGCTGGCTGGATTCAACATAGAACTTGGCACCGAAGTGCAGCAGTTCGAGTTGCCACGTTCCAAAGAGCACACAAAAGTAGACAAGGAAATGAGTGAAGGGAATCAATAGAGTTTTGACAAGTATAAGAGTGAAACAGAATGAGTAATGGTAGAAAGGAATATGAAAGATTACAGAGACTGAATACATCTGCGCCATTGACAACGATTTTAAGCCATGTCACCTATTGTCTCCAGCCATTGATTCTTAGAGTCCTGAGGGCCCAACCCGGAAGTCTGCATCTCCCTACCTGACTCATTTTAACTGTCAAGGATTGATGAGGCGATGTTTTTGTTTGGCCACCACTTACTCTTTTCCAACCTGCACCTATATCAGCTAGTAATGCCCGTCGGGGGAGCCGATGGTTAGGCATGTGCAGCACGTGACCTAGCCATCTCAATCTATGTAACTTTATAGCCTCTTCGATTGATTTTCCCTCTTTGCCCAACACTCTACGCCTAACGTCAACATTACTTACCTTATTATACCACCTAACGCAAGAAAGAGATCGTAGACATCTATGATCAAAAACAGTCAACCTTTTCATGTCTTCAACTCGTATTGGCCATGTTTCAGAGCCATAGAGAAGGACGGAACGAACTGCTGAGCAGTACACACGTCCCTTGGTTGATAGCCGGATGTCACGCCTACGCCAGAGACGGTGTAAGTTAGCGAAAGCAGCCCAAACTTTTTGGATCTGTGCTGAGATTTCGTCACCAATCAATCCGTTGATGCTGATACAACTTCCCAAATAGGTGAAGTGGTCAACATGTTCTATCACTTTACTCCCTATCACTAAGCTAGGAGTTGACGTAGTCCAGTCCTGTAGCAGCATCTTACATTTTACAGGGGCGAATCGCATGCCAAACATACGAAGATTGCTGCTCAAGGACTTCACCTAAGACTGTTTATAAATAGTATCGCGAGACGCAATGAAAGTCTTAACTGATAAGGTGAGATCACAGATCTAAGCTATAAAAAAAAGTAGTGACCACAAATTATATTATGACATTTATTCATTACCATAATACAGGAAAAAAGGGTAAAGTGAGTAAATTGAAATGTCACATTTTCTTCCTACTAGGATACAAACAAAATAATGGGGAAAAAGAGATACACATGGCAACAAAATTGAATACAGTTGTGTAATACACATTCACAGGCAATATTAAACTACTACCTACAGAACAAGATTAAGTACAATAATATACCGATAGTAAGAACTGTAGCAAGATAAACTGGGGAAGAAGTGCCACTGCTAGTGATAGTGGAATTTTGTACCAGATGGGATTGACTGTGTTGTAGTCTTGCAAACAAACAAACTACAGCTTGTGAGATACCAAATGACTGTCAGCTACGTGCATTTCCAATGTACACACTATTATGAAGTGTTAAAAATACTAGATACAAAGTCAGTATATCTGGTGTTTGTGTGTGTGCGCACCTTTGGGGAGGGGTGGGATGACTCGTAAGAGAAAGTAACTTACAGAATATGTTTATTGTTAATATTATTATCACTGCTAGTCACCAAGTGTAAGTTAACTTTTGAGAAAGGAGCAACGACACGTTAATTGGTTTAAGATCCTTAACAGCATAAGGGAAGTAAACAATTGGAACGCGATGTTGACCTATGATTGAGTTACACTGAAAGAATGAATATTCTACTGTGAATTTGTTTAAAATTCACCGGTATTGAATAATAACACTGAAAGATTTTGATGGTCATGAGGAAAATTGTAAAACAGACAAGAATAGATCACACACACACTTTAAAAAAAGAAAGTGAGCTATTTATTTCCCCACCTAATGATTGAATGGTCAGTTAGGTTCACATAAAAGGGAGTAAAACCTGGCACAAATAAAGGCAACTTAAGGAAGAGAAAGATAGGATAATAAACAAGGACTTTACAAGTATTCTAATTAAAAAATATGCTGTGAAATTAAAATAGCTGCACATTTCACAAAAAAGAAGAATAAGTATATATATAGATGTATATATCAATTTGAAGTCATATGAACACAGATCACGAGGGCTTGGTAGCTGTTTGCGTACTTGTTTGAACTTGTGGTTTTGCCCATTCGACAAATTCATCAATCAATACTGGCCAGGCACCTGTGAATACAACAACAACAGAAAGTTAAAAGTAGAAGCACATTTCCATGAGAAATGGAGGATTCCATCAACGGTGTAACTGATTTTATTGGATACTATCTTCGTCAGCGGATAATGTCTAAGTGAAGCAGATGGGTAGGTGAATGACACCAGCAGCTTGAGATGTGACTACATTCGTATATCGTTACATAATTCTTTTCTTACTACACTTTCGTCTTGAAATATTACACAAAATAGGTGAATTAACACAATAGCAAGCGTGTAGTCTGATAGGCAATTCACATGCAGCATATTTGCTTCCATTTGACACCATTTTAGTGACTAACCAACTACAGTAATAGAGGCTTGTATTATTCAATAACCCCTTGCAATTGCATGCAGTTGGTAATCTGCCACACTTACTGTGTGTGTGGGTTTGTGGGCTAGTGATATTACCTGACTGCCCAAACCTCGTTAGGTGGGACGGGGTTCGAACGTGTGGCCCAGTTAGTTGGAAGTAGAGCGCCGAGGCCAATGAGCCACAGCTCCCCTATACTAATAGATGAAAGTTTGAACATAGATTCGTAAGTGGGTTGTATAAAAATTTAACACATTGTATGACCACTTATCAACAGAGGCTACTTATATAAATGGTGTTATTTTCTAATGTAGAATAGTTACATTTAACAACTAGCCTTCTGGTAGACGCATTTCATCTTAGTGATCGAAACTGTCAAGCCTAATCAACATCAAATTGAACAGTGTTACTAAAGACAAAGAAGACAAGAGACTGACTGTTCATAAAACAAGTTAATCAGCCTTACTACCATCACATTTGACCAATTTTTGACAAATAAAAAGTATTATTTTCAATGCTGATAGTTTTCTTTATTCCTTTGTGTCCCGAGGAGAACACACAGCCTCAGAGTTTAAGCTTTGGATTTTCATTAACGGTGGTGTTTCCTTTTGAGAGATCGGGCGCGACTACCAGCCTGACGCCCAACCTCCCCTCTTCACCAAGCTTACTGTTGGCTAAGATAGATTTAAGAGTGCGTTGGTCGGGAGTCGAACCCGGACCATATGTGTGTGTGATTGGCGGGAAATCCTATTGGTAATATCGGCATCTTTTGAATAAGCCAAGTGGACAATCAATTGCGCACCACTGATATGAATAAAATCGACTGGAAAATGTACATTATCAGCTGAACAACATTCACTTCTTAATTTACGATAGCATTCAAAGAGTACGCACATGAATGTTTTAAAGATATCAACTTATGTTAATAGAAGCGATAAATAATAAACACAACTGATCGACAAGAACAGTTTCAAAGCTAACTAACTAACTAACTTACAAACATCAAAAATGTTTCATTTCCTTGAAGTATGAATTAACCTATTATTATTATTATTATTTTGATTGCAGCTTGATTCCACACAGCACTTTTGGTACAAGTATGAAATTTTCAGCATGTGATATCGGTAGCCCAAATTTTGCAGTTCGACCATTGATATCAGGTGTGCATCGGCAGGGGATTAAACCCCGGACCATGTGCATGGTCGACGAGAGTCCTAACCGCTGTGCCACCGACGCTATCAAACTCTTTCGATTTCTATGAATATAAAACTTGCGAACCAATTTACACATTCATCATACGTTTGACAACAGGCCCGTTTAAACTACAGTGTGGATTGAATAGTGGTTGAACTTGAATCGACTGTTAAATGGTATTCATTCACACACACACACACACACACACAAGATCTTAATTTAGACAGACAAAAACAATTCAGACACCAGAGTTAGGTTTGAATGTCTAAATACTCTGAACAATTTGTCCTTAGCGCTTTTAAATTAAAAGCACTCACACTCCCTGTCGGGCTTTTTATTCAGTGTATGGTATGACAGTAATGACAGAATAAGATAAATTCACCTTGATAATATTTTCTGTGATTAGTTTCAAGAACTAGTGCTTCGTGTTTTCTTTGAGGTTGATTATTATTAACTGAATCTACAAGAATAAAAATTCAGATGCTCGTTTTGATACACACTACAACAAAATTTTTGTATTTTTCTGTTTTATTCGGGTCTTAAAAACTAATTAAAATAGGTGTATACAGTTCTTGTTCCTTTTTTTAAACACATAGATGAGACAACTCATGTTTTCATCGCCATGTATTAGTCATAAATTAGCAAAATTTACGAAGCACAGACGACTATTACTACTAATGGATCCTGATTCAGTGATGAATTGTTAATGTGTTCATACATAAATTAACAGTCATGAGACCGAATACATGCAATTCCAACTGAGACAAATAGCTGTTCCCCCCCCCCCATCTAGTGGTTCTTGTTTAGGATAGATACCACATAAAATAACTTACATCCACAGAATACTAATATAAATATAGCATAATGACTGACGATGTGATAAGAACCAGTAATCTAAGAATTAATTAATCAGCGCGAAGTTTTGCTACTGAGGAGGTATCAGTCCATCGCACATAAATTCACGAGGGTTGTTCGAAGTTGTCATCACACACAACATGTCATACATGACATGACATGAGCTACGGAAAATATCATTAATACGTATGTGAATGCATAGAATTAATACACCAAACCTTACTTACCTTCTTCATCATAATTCGACATATTTGGATAGATTGTTTCAACAAAGTCTAGGAGTAGATCCCAAGTATCTTTGGATATTGGACGTTTATGGTGTTCCTAGGAGAATATGTATTGAATAGAATACAATCCCTTGGTCAATAAGTGATTATTGAGTAATAAAACTACCTAAAATGTATGTCAGTTGTACAGACATAGGTTTATGGGAATATGTCAGTAAATGCCTAATCTATGAGACTGCAGTTATAAACGCTAAAATAATAGAATGTCTTTATACATATATTGATGAATAGCCGTAAGACTAACAGAATCCTTTGACCTGCTTTTGGAAGTGTGTGGGCGGTTGTTACTTCCCGACTGCCCACACACCGTGGAAGTTGCTTGATTCTTCGGGTACCTGAAACAGAGAGAGGGTTAGTGCTGAGTGACCGCAGAGCCCAGGGGACAACTGCTTGAGGGAGGTCACACACAGCCTGTATGAACTGGTTTCTTGGTTTGGTTCCGATTTAGTAAACTTACCACCGGTTACGGTAGAGTAAGTCGGGATGTACAATTTTTGGGGTCGACCTTTTCTAATCCCCTCTCTCCAGAGTGGAGAGACATCAGCATAGCTGGCATGCTGGTCATCTGGGGGAAACACCTCACTGCTGTTACACCCCTGTTTCCCAGCAGTACGACATCGCCCACAGACCCCCCCCCCAGTGTAAGAAACATTCTTACACTATGCCGATAACTGCTTTTAGTCTAATCGCTATTCTAACAACCTTCCTGGCATGGTAGGGCCTGCAGGAACACTGGTTCCAGCCAGTGTAGCTTGTTGGGTCATCGCGATGTGCAAGCCCAAACACCACGTCAAGGTAGCAGCTATCGGTCTGGAATCCTGTGACCGAGTGAGATACGCACATCAATAAATGATAGACAAACTGCTTGAAGTGCCATTTAGTAAAATATGTTGCATTTTAAACATTCAGAATCCCTATTATTCCATAGTTCTTTGTGAATTTTTACTATACAAGTACTTCTGACTGAAGAGTTGAATGAAACAGATGGAAACATATCCTGGATATTACCGTGCAATAAATAAAACCAATGCGTGAATATTTTGATGAATTGTATACCTACTACTCACTCTGTTTTATTACGATGTGATGTCAGTCTTTCATGTGTGTTCTACACATTACGTAAACGACAGTTTTACTATCATTTATTATACATTCTTCGTTATCCTGAATGTTTCAAGGAATAGAAGGATATTGCTACCTCCAAAATGTTCTGACCATAATATGTTTCCAAAGAAGACTAATTTTTTTCCATTCTTTTGCGTCCCGAGTGGAACATACGACCGAGGGCTTGATGCCTTTAAGTTTCAGTAGCCGTGCTATCGTTTTTATGGAGTGGAGTTCCCAGTCGCACACCCAACCTCCCCCGCTTCCCTAGACTTACTATCATCTAGTTAATTACGCTAAGCGTTAGGAGTGCTCCAGCCAGGAGTCAAACTATGGGACCGTTTGCGTGGTTAGTCAGCATTCTACTAACGTGTGTAAAGATGAATTCACACTAAATACTTTGCAATCTGTATCACAACTTTTACCCCACCCCCCTGGTTAACCCAAATCTAACTAGTCTGAAATAACACAGTTAATTGGGGTAAACAGTTGATGAGCACACCGACACACTACTACATGCTCAGATCATCTCCATCTGACTAGTATCCCAGGTTTGTATGAATGATTTAAAACCATTTGTATCGATCAGTAATAGGTGTGGAAATGTAACCTTACCATAAAAGTGTTTTATCATCGATTAATAACGGTTCACCTAACAGCGTGGAGATTCGAAATGAAAACTCTATAATGTATCCGATCTAGGTAACTTAATCCCTCACCGCTACGTAAAGACGGAAGCTTAGAGAAGATATAGGAAACTAAGTATTCTATTACTATGGAATGAGGTCTTCATACTGCCTTACTTTAAAAACAGCCTACATAGTGTATGTGCAAATTACCCGACATGACAGACTGATATGTGAAGAGAAGAAGACGGAGTTTCATTAACGCTGTGAATGTGCAGACAGCACAACCAATCTCCGCTAGTTTAGTAAACACTTACAGATATTAGAAAATAAAAATAGATGGTGTTAAGACTATCTCTTTTGGAATGGATTTTTAGAAAGACGGATAACTCCAGAAAGCTCATTAGTATGCTGAGAAATATGTACAAAAGTGACATAAGTAGAATGATGACATTTATTCTTTTATCATTATTGCTGTACATTAATTAGTAGCAGGTACAGTTGTATAATTTGGCCATTTATTTTCTAACTTCTCTATCACAGCATCCTTATAGCAGTTCTGAAGTAAGTCTGGTTATTTAGTGAAGATTCGCTACCTTCTTTTATGATCCTGAGTCTGTGCATAATTCAGTCGTGAAGATAAGTCATTAAAAGCAGTTGCAAATTTCTCGTACATAGTTAGCCATATAAGGTTAATGCCGGTTTCTGTTAATACTTACTTACCATACAAATAGTTGTGGTATACATGTATTGAGACTTACTTGAAGGAATTTAAACCATAATTGTAAGTGACAAAATCGATCACGTAAAAGAATCTCCCAGTAGGGAATAGCGTACTGAAGAACTATAAATATAAGAGGAATAGAAACAAGAGTTGTTTATTCACTTTTAGAGTTATGCGAAGGAATCACAAACAAAAGAAGAAATATTACTCAAGGGCCAGTTGCAATTGTACGCAATTAGCAATGAGTTACGCATATTGTGTATGTGGGTTGTTGATACTACCTGGCTGCTCCGACCTCGGCAGCTGGAGTTAGGTTCAAGCCCATGACCCAGTGGTTAGAGATTGACCGTCTAGACCGATAAGACACAGCTCCATAGAAAAAGTCACGTATACTATGGCTTGACTAGTTTATATAATAAATGAACTTGACGGTAATAACTTTCAATGTCTGCTCACTATGAACAACAATAAGAGAAAAAAGAGATGAGAAAATAGAAGAGAACTAATTATATAAGGACAGATGATGATCACTGTTGACTGTCATAAGGTAACAAAGTGAAGTAGTGCATACGATAGATACTAACAGAACTAGAATGCGTGGGTGGGTGTGTATGTGTGAGTTTATGCTACTACTACTTATTTGTTCAAGTTGAATTTAAACCTGTGATACAGAAGTGACTAGCAATCAGGTGGTTAGGTCAATCGATGAGCCACGCTTTCACTTAGGTCTCATTCTAAGCTTGTCTCTACAAGTCACCGGGTTTGATGCTTTTTAAAGTCTTAACTAGAAATCATGCGATCATAGTGTTCGGTATTAAGGCTACTAGGGGTTTATTATAATCGACTGTGTGACATAAAAGAATATATCTGTAATAGATGATCACAGGATAGAGGGAAATAGATCACTGAACAAAGAAGCTATACAGATATAGAAGAAAGTGTTTTTGACTAAGTGTGAAACTTTGCGGTCCCTGCTTAAATTATTATTATTATTATTCCCTTGGGTTTCAAGTGGAACATAGAGATTCAGCGGCGCATCACCATTTCACTCTGTTCTGGGACGTCTTTTTTCAGTTGACTTCATGATTGTCCATAAGCTTTTATTTCCTCCTCGCACGATCTCAGTGCCACTGTTGAACACGCGCCCAACTCGTTTCTCATTTCGAGTTTCATTAGAGGGTCTGGCGCGCGATATCACTCAACGTGTATCTCTATTTCACCTACATTCCCCACTGCATATCTATTAATTGATAAGTTCTTGGTGGGTGCGTACTGCTGAAGAGTCCCAAACTAGGACGAAACAGCTGTCCAGTACTCCCTACAGGTTTTCCAATGGTTCTCTAACTGATGGCAGCTCATAATGAAATCCTCCATCCAATCAAAGATCTATTTCGCTTTTCCGATCCTACCTTTGACATCTTCATCCGTACTGTCTGTAGTTGGAAAAAATACTACCAAGGTAATTGAAAGAGGTGACTTCCTCTCAGATTTGTACCGTTGATGGTGATTGGTGTGTTGTTGTTATTGTTAGTAGTCGGGTATCTTCATCACCTTTGTCTTCACCTGAAGCCCTATTTCCATTACTTCTTCTGAGAACTTGTTGGCTTGTGCCTGAAGATTTTTGTTTTATGCAACATTAGATATAAATCATTCGCGAAGTGCAGAGTTCTTGTTTACCCAAGAGGATCAAACTCAGGGACATCAAGTTACGAGGCCGAGTCCGTTGAGCATACATCCAACTATTTGGGCTAATAATCAACCATGCCGCGTGAATTCTAACTTCTGACAATTTGTGATCGCTAACTGCTGTTGGTCCACTGATGAGATCTACACTGAAATCAATTGAGATATTCCTACAAAAACTTAAAATCTACGTATCTACATCTGTCATTAAAAGTTGTTCTAATTTATGCTAGTCACTTACAAAATCGAGGCTATTCTATTTTGTGTTGATAAGTAGTTTGCAAGACCTGATTAGCAACTGAGGTTTTGGTGATTGAAGTCAGTAAGATGAGAGGACGCCTGTCATGACTAAAGTTTTCATTTCGGGTCAAGTCACCTCACTACATCATATTAGTCCGCTAGATTAACACTATCCAAGAGAGTGTGGTCATCTGAGGTATTTGGACAGCAAAATTAGACTATCAACTGAAAGAGACAGCATGAAATATAATACAATCTACTGAGGAAAATATGAATAGAATTTTAAAAAAAACTTGATTTTAATGAGTTCTTTTTCATTCACCTACCCAGTGATTTACTTTCATGTTTATCTAAATTAGCGAAACCAAAGGTGAATAGATACAGCGAACGAAAGGCTTGTTTATCTTCCACTTCCTTTAACAGACTTGGAAGTTTATTACGCAGAGAGTCAATAGAATCACAGCTAAATCAAAAAAAAGAAAAGAAAAGAGGTTCAGTAATTCATGGATTTCTGATATAAGGAGAGACAAAAATAAATGTTTCTTTGAAAGTAACTTCGCCAACTAATAAAAAAAACAGTAAGCGACAACAGTGAGTGAACCGAAAGTGACAAGGCGCAAACGTAAGCTGACTAGAAAGTAGTTTTGTTGACTGCGAACAAAAGTCAAAATGGAACAAGTTTCAGCGGTATGCAGCACTTATCAACTGTGTAGGCCCATTAGGCAGATACATCCTAAATAAGCTACAGTATATGAAATTATCTTTGGGAAGAATGGAACATTAGTTATTTCTCAGGAGAGACAACTGGAACGTCGAAGAGAATTTTCAGGAGCCTCATCCAATCGCCACTTCACAACAGGATGTAGTCATCAGTCCTCCAACTGTAGCGAAGTTAGCAGAAGCTGTCTCTAACCTCAAACAAGGCAAACCAGAAGGATATGATGGTAGGACTCCAGAAATATTTACAGATGGCAGTGACGGATTATTGACTAGATTAACTACGGTATTTACTAGAGTATGGTGTTCAAAATTAGTACACCAACGGACGGGTGTAGGTCGTTGATTGTCGCAGTTTATAAAAAAGAGGGAAGGCGAAGACACTGACAGAATACAAAGTCTTTTAAACATATTGTGTGGAAATCTCGGTAATGTTTGGAAAGCAATTTGCCCCTATCAAAGGTAAGATGGCACCACAGAAGTGGTCCACACTGAAAGTGAAATGGTTGAGTGTGTTGACCATTTCCCTTATTTGGGAAGCTACACAGGCCCTAATAGATTGAGTGGTGATGCAATCTTAGTACGAATACAAAAGGCTCATGTAGAATTTGCTAACTTGTGTAGCTTTTGACGTAGACATGATATCCGGCTAGCTATCAAGTGAAGTATACTAAGAAGCAGTTCGCTTCTTCCTACTTTACGGCAGCGACACAGCTGCTTGAAGTGAACTGAATAGCGGCTTTTGACCGCAGATACCTCTGTTCGCTCTCTTATGTTACATGGAGTGATATGATTAGTAATGCGCCAAAGACTAATTATACCAATACGAGCAAAGCGATTAGTAGCTGAACGAGTAACTTGATACTGGTGTATATAGGTAACGAAACATGCGGATGTGAAATGAAAGAATAGCAGTCGCTGTTCATTAGGCGAAGTAAACTAAGATGGGAAGTTGAACAAGGGTAAAACAAATGAACTACAGGCGTTACACTGGACATTTCTGCCCATTGTCTGTCTATACACTCCTAGAGATTCAATTTATTATTATTAATCATTCCTACAGTTAAGACAGTTTTCACTGTAACTATATAGATTGTATACGCGAATCGGTAAAACAATGATATCCTATGTAAGGATCAAATTCTATCTACCAAGATATGTAAAATGTCTTTCAAGATAAGTTAGATGATACGGTTCTTTTTGTCTTGGAGATAACTCGTTATTAAGTGACTTATTTGCAGGGATTCACAAAGTAACAACTTATTTCAGCACTGATTGCTCATGAACTAACAACTCTGACGAGAGTCATGAAACCGTGGTTTTTTAAAAATTTGGGACGCTGCACTATAACGTTACGAGGGATTGAAGTGGTCAAAACTAGGATGAAACAGCTTTCCAAGGCCCAGCAGCTTCCAATGAATTTCTACCTGGTGTTAATTCGTGACGAAGTCCAGGAAGTTCTAGAAATCCGACAACGATTCTATGGCTTCTTGTTTACACGTCAGGTGGTTTACTCATCACAATATTTCAGAGAGATTGCTAGTTTGCTTGTTAAGAAGGAGTCAACGAATCAGATAAAACAGGATGCTCTGGTAGACAAAGCAAAAACGCTTACCCCAACTCTCGAAAACCTCGGAAGAATTCTTCCCTTGTGAATTCTCCTTGAGTTTTTGCTGAGAATTTCCATGCTAGGACTAAGGTTATTAAATTTTCTGGATCAATATGTAAATCATTAATAAGAAATCGTTCCATTCCTGTGGATAGTATTCGATCAGGATATTGAGGATCTATGTTAAAATATACAAAACAAATGGATTTCTTTTCTAGACAATCTCAAGTTCACGAAAAATATACAATTAGTATACTTTGAATCTGATTACAGGGTAAGGTTACATTGCACACAGCAAAACTATGAGGTATACAAAATAATCCTGCTAAAGGTTTTGTGTAACCAACTTGAACAATATCACTTATAATCTCGACTTAATTTATGATTGTCTTAATTCATGCAATTTACTATAATTGGTTGTTACTTCTGCCTCCAAAGCCTCAGGATGGTCGGGGATGGGTGCCTTGCACTGCGGGTTGGCCACCCCTCCGCACACCTCTTGAAATGCTCCCATATGACCGGGCGTCTTACATAGCCTCTCTTGAGGAAGTCCTACTCACTGCCTTCACGTGGCGGAGGTGTTTTTTTCACCAGAAGGAGAGGGCGAAAGCGGATGCCCGGCGCTCTTCACCGGGTTGACTGTCCATTGGATGACAGTCTAGGGGAGATGGCTAAACCCTGATTCCAAACCTCCAACGACTGGCGTATGAAGCTCACTGGAGCTCACCGGCAAACGTACGGACAAAGGGCTTGTTGGATGTCCTGGATGTTTGGCCCCATTCAAAAAGGCGTATGAACCGAACTCCGGTCACCGGCTGCCAATGGAGAGTGGACTCCCTACTCCACTCCTACTGCTTTGTAGGTCACACTTGGTTGTGTAAAGGCTAGAGCTGCACTCTCAAACAAAAGGCCGAGCGATTCTGGGGACATCACTCGTACCAAATTCCCATGAAACTTCATGAACTCTCCTGCATGTTCGTTGGCAGGACAAACTCTCCAACGAAGAAGTGCGTCGTCGTCGCTACAACATCAACCAAATTCCAGTACTGGTCCAACAACGTCACCTTCGGTGGTTTGGCCATGTTCTGCACCGACCAGATGACGATCTGGTCAAATCAGTTCTAAATCCCTCGCCATTACCATCTTGGCAATGTCGCAGGGGTGGACAGCTGAAAACATGGCTTGGTACAGTCAAGGCTGATATGGAGTGCCTGGGGCTACAAACCGTCTACGGACTCCGTCTGTGGAACAAGAATTGGATAACCCTGTCGCAAAACCTTGCATCAGATCACCGCGCCTGGGCAGCGATGATTCGAGATGTTCATGAAGCCGGATTGTTCATAATTTTTGATTTTATTTTGAACTTTTGTTCAAATGACTTTTTCTTTATTTCTTGCGATCTAAGCGGAAATATGCAGCTGTAAGCCTCGAATTTTCAAAAAAGATAATATTGTTTGCTTTTAACAGGTGGGATGGCTAGCCTGACGTGCAACTTTCTCTGTTTCCGGACTTACTACCAGCTAGGCACAAGGTTCAGAAATGCATCGATCGACAATCGAACCAGAACCATGTGTGCGACTGGCGAGCATATTACGCATTGATACAGTAATATATATTATTAATTCGATTAGTAATCTGTTGGCTACAAATCTTTTTAGTCTTACAAGATCTAGCTACAGTGAACTCGTCACCTTATACTATATATTCTAGAAGGAGTTAGAATCCTCTCAATGAGAAACCAGCAGTAATAATAAAATGAAGGATTTTGCCATGAAAGACTTGTACAGGAATAACACCATGCCCTAGTTTAACACATTCCATGGATTCGGGTAACCGCATTTCATGAAAGCAATACGATACTACCTAACTGACTAGATTTCAACTGAGTTTGCAAAAAAGTGAAGAAGTCCAATTTATCACACTCCATGCAGCACACATAAGTAGAGATAAGAAATTCAAAAGAACTATAATCAACAAGAATGTCAGGGAGAAAGAATAGTAATGCGGATAAACATGAGAGTCTAGTGGATCTAGGAGATTACGAAGAGTGATTACACTTGCGTCATTAGGAACAATTTCTGAGCCATTTGAATGACAATGTTTTAAATCCATGAAGGAGGACAGAGCAAATCTCTGTGTAGAATACACGTTCCTCTGAGAGATAGATGGATATCACATCTGGACAACACGTGACACAAATTAGCACAACACTACATACCCATTACCCAAAAGTGTAGAGCAATAATCAAACCCAAGAGATGTTATAGAAAAAAAAATTGACTTCAATACAACAAGTTATCCTCACACGTACACACACTATCAATGGATAATCGATTTTAAAGAAGTACAAAAATACTGACACCTTATGTAGTTGATTAGGTAAACTACCGCTTACCCCGATAACGTTGAAAAAGTTGATCAATTTTCGCCTCATTCACAGTTGGTCCAGTAGGAGTAGGATTCTGTCTGTAAAAGTAATCTACAGCCTGTTCAAGTCTCCAATTGCTCATTTGAAGACAATCAATCGCGACCTTGTCAGAACTTCGAGTGATAGCATTAAACTTTTTAACTCTATCTCGTTGTGAAGAGCTAAGTTTGTACTGAAAAATAAAATAAAAAGAATAGCTTATATTTGAAGCAAGCCTGAGTAAGTAGTGTATTGTTTAGTGAAATCAAATAAAAAAACAACACTGATAAACACTAATCGATATTAACTGTTTTGCATACATGCACTGACTTACAAGGATGAGAAAAGTATGAACCTGCTGATGGAATTACTAAATAGGAAGGAAATTATGACAGTTATTACTTTACTGCATTCGTCTACACAGTTGACTTTTAAACAATGAACCTTTTTATGTTATGTGGTATACTGTGGTGGGTAATGTTGAAGTTGTGCGTAGCTAGGTAAATAGGGTAAGAAACGTGTCGCACATACCAAGCTGCCGCCTTCTTTATCAAGCAATGTTAGATAACATAGGCTTATGTTAGATTGGAAAAGAGTTAAAGACGGTCCAACTAAAATCTGGAGTCAAGCCATGAAGTCTTTGATCGCCGATCTGAGTCAAGTAGGGAAATTACAAATCCGATTCAGGGTATTACTAGTCTGCCCAAGTAACCAACCAGAAATTGAGTGGTTAGAACTAATTCGGCTTTTTCAGCTGAGTCACACGGGCGAAACAACCATCCGGTGTTTGGATCACTTCGACCTGGTTAGCAAACACTCCCGATTGATGTGAGTGGTGTGCAGCTGTTCACGCCAATCAATCAGTAGTGCATAGCATCATGCATGCTTTCGTGATTACCATTTATTGTATCAAATAGATCACATATGTTGAATAATTCGTTTCCAAAGGGAACTGATAAAATTTTTACTTGCACCGTGTAAGTTGCAAATTGCGAATAAGTTTGTAGGGAGTCATAAACTAACTGGCTGGGTTCCTTGAAACGCTTAGAACCAATGGTATGAGACTGTTAATGACATGGCTTAAAAGCGTTTTTAATGACGCAGATGTACTTACCCCTTAGAAAAACTCTCAGATTTAGTAAATCTCCCATGTACTTATCTTTTCGCTCTACAGTTGTGTGGTTCTCAAACTACTGTCTAAGCTGAAGCTAGGTAAATCACCTGGACCTGACAGACTTCACCCTAAACTGCTAAACTCCTTGGTGGATATAATATACATTCCACTTACGGAGATTTTTCAAATGTCTCTGACCCAGGCTAGGTTACCCGGGGACTAGAAAGATGCTTTTATAAGCCCCGTCTTCAAAGAGGGGAACAGGCAGTTAGTATCTGACTACCGCCCTGTAAGCCTGACCTGCATTATAGCAAAGGTGTTAGAAACACTCATAAGGGATCAGCTCTTAGCTCATATGGAGAAACATGGCTTACTGGCAGTGGAACAGCATGGATTCCGACTAGGACGATCCTGCTTGACAAACTTACTGTTAGTTAAGGAAGATTGGGTCGAAGCCAGGGATAAGAACCATCTACCGGACGTTATCTTTAAGTAAAGCATTCGATAGGGTATCCCATTTAGGTCTTCTTAGTAAACTTAGTAAACGTTTTGGATTAGACCAACGTCTATGTGAGTGGTTTAGCGACTACCTGATGAATAGAAGGCAGAAGGTAAATGTTAATGGTGTCCTGTCAGGATGGAAAGCAGCACTGAGTGCAGTACCTCGTGAACTGTACTTGGCTCCCTGCTATTCCTGTTATACGTAAATAAAGTGCCGAAAATTCTTGCCCCATTTTCCTTACTATTTACGGAAACTATTAAGATACGGAAAACCGTAAGTAGTAACGACGATAGGTTGGTACTACAAAACGATCCAGATAAATTAGCTGAATGGACTAACCTTTGGAGTCTGGAATTTGATTCCAAGAAAAGCGCGGTAGTGCACCTAGGTCAGAAGTTTTACTACGTGGGGGACACAGAACTGCCAGACGTTAGGGGACAAAAGGACTTAAAAGTTATTGTAAGGCATGACTTAAAAACAACGGCAAATTGTAATCGAGCCGCAGCTAAGGCTTTTCGAAGGGCTTTCAAACGATTAGACGAGGGTATGTTCCAAGTACTCTATGCAACATATGTCAGACCTCTTATAGAATACTGCATACAAGCGGTGAGTCCATGCTTCAAAAAGGAGGCACATATCCTGAAAAGAGTACAAAGGGTGGGAATCATTTTAGTTAATTTCTCACACCTTCCTTATGATAAGAGGATGGAGCATTTAAATCTCTTCCCATTATCATACCGAAGGAAGAGGGGAGACTTAATTTTAGCATACCGTATGCTTAAGAGTGATTTAGGAACTGACCTTGCAAACCTTTTCTCTCCCTCTAGGATACATTTACGACGTCACCACGACAAGGTTCTGGAACCGAGGTCGAATAAAACACGTGTGGAATTTAGATTCTCCTACAGAGTGGTCAACGACTGGAACTCCTTACCTGATACAGTAGTAACAGCTCCATCGGTGAACGCTTTCAAAGAAAAACTGGATCTCTGTGAAGAGATATATATCGCAAGGATTAACATAGGTAACAAGAGCCTTCTATCCTTATAATCTGAATCTACTCCATATTTATGAAGAATGGTAAAGAACACTTCATGTGCTTGACAATTGTTGCCTTTGTAGAATTTATGATGAAGGTATTATGTGAAGTGTAGAATTTAGGCGTAGAGTTCTACAGAAAGAAGTTCTCCTGAGGAGATTACAAGCTGTTGTCGTCTGAGGTATTTGGATACTGTTGTATGTATAGTAACTCACCTTTTACCTAACGTGTTGTTACTGGAGGTAGGATCCACTCGAAGCAAAATATGGCAAAATGGAAACTACTAACAACAAAGGAGCATATTACTTATTTGTTATCTGAAGAAGTAGCACGCACACACAACTTATCTTTATCTTGATTGTAACGTCATACTTAATAGTTTACCACTTCGCGTCTGTATGATAACATTTAAGAGTAATAGCTCGGCGAGAACTACGACCAGTTATTTATCTGCTTAATTAACAAGCAGAACTATGCAGTTAGCCTGTATTGTGTGGCATCACTCTTTAAACAACAGAAGCTTAAAAATGTACAGACCCTTATGTACCGATATGTAAATTTATACCGTTTCAGATTCAGATTATAAGGATAGAAGGCTCTTGTTACCTATGTTAATCCTTGCGATATATATCTCTTCATAGAGATCCAGTTTTTCTTCGAAAGCGTTCACCGATGGAGCTGTTACTACTGTATCAGGTAAGGAGTTCCAGTCGTTGACCACTCTGTGGGGGAATCTAAATTCCACGTGTTTTATTCGTCCTCAGTTTCAGCATCTTCTTGTGGTGACCTCGTAAATATATCCTAGAGGGAGAGAAAGAGTTTGAAAAGTCAATCACCACATCAACCTTTAATATACGGTCAGCCAACATTAAGTCACCTCTCCTCCTACGGTATGATGATGGGAAGAGATTTAAATGCATCCTCTTATCATAAGGAAGGCTTTAGAATATCATATCTCTATGCGAAACAAACAACTTCATTTAGGTAACAATGAGTTCGTTGACTCAGCTGAACGTTGTTCCCCAGTTAGCATTTTCTTCGGGCGCATTGCAGAACGTGGGACAAGGCCCATAAGCCTGTCCCCAACAGATCTGCGACATTTCAATACATGCATGACCAATACAAATAGCAAATTAATAGACAAAAAGAGAATCCGGAATCTTTAAGACATAGGAAGACAATCAAATTTAAATGGTGGGGAATACTAACAGATTAAAATGGTAATTCCCACACTAATATACCAATATGCAGGCCAGTGATAAAGTTGACTATAACCCTACGGTAATTTCAGTGATTAACGCTTAAATAACATTTATTAAACACCAGACTGATTGCTGGAAATAAGGGGGAAGAAATACAAATCTGGACGAACCTGACTGGCCATTGTGTCGTTTAAACTAAATTTAGCGGGTTTATTGTGGATCATAAGTTCACAATAATTTCACAGATTTATTAGTTCTACTGTGAATTGTAATATTTTGTTTGCCTAAATCATCTTGTCTTCACGTTGACAACAGATTTGTTTGTAATGATATGAAACGCTGCACTATTTTAAATGCTGACCAAAGATAATGATCCTGACAAAATCCCAAAAGTCAGACCTGTAAGGTCATCTTCTGTCCTTCAAGTTTTCCTGCTTTGCAATATTTACTATGTTATACCATTTTCTGTTTTAGAAATTTTAACATTTGTTTGGAAGGGAGTTGTACTTCCATACTCTACAGGCTATTTTGCTAGTGAAGTATCGTTATTCATATTTTTGATCCTCTCTGAATCTCTGCGATTATTTTATCTGAATGTTTCTAACTTGAAGGAGGACTTGGTGGGCGCTTCTGTTTCACTTTTTCTATTCTTTCCAAATGTTGTCCTATGCGTATGGCTCATTTTGTGGCAGTCATATACATTTTATATTGATTTAGTATTAACTTCTATTCTGTTAGTACTATATCTTTGTGAGGCTATCCTTACTGTGATGGTTTTGGTCACATTCGCCTGTATTTCTGTTTAGCCAACAACCGTTTTCTATATGTATGTCTTTGTGATATTCTCTCAGTCTGAAATAAAGTAAGTGTGATTTAAAGTTTGTGTATTTTAAATGACACCGATTGATCAACTCAAAACCCTTCCGTTGAAGAATCGTGAACTGATGACTGTGGAAGGCTTTTCTATACATGGCTTTAACTTTTGGTTACCTAACTAGCATAATTATCCAACAAAATTTTGAAGTGGCCTTTGAACGAAAGTGTGTACGGTGATATATAAAGATACCGGCTTAAAATAATGGGAATATACGCCTTTATGTGAGCTTCTTGAATCAAACTTGTAGCGTTAAACGATTCTCCAAAATTATTTGTCTGTGGGATTCTTAACTCGACATTGGGTGCTGACCTTCATTGTTTAGGTCGAATCATTAAGCTGTCAAGCATCCACGCCATTCGGCACAATGCGGTGTCACATTTGGTCTATTATGCGACGTCGGTTTTATGAGCTAGTGTAAACCAAATTGACTTCTCTGTGTTCGCTTCTTGGCTGTAAGGTGAAGGTTCCTGGTCTTCGACAAACTTCTACGTAGTGCATCCCGCCACTTGACTGTCATAGCTTTTGTTAAGTCTAACGGTGTTGTTAAGTCTATGTGTGTGAATTTAAAGGGGACAGGACGTTTGGACGCATAATTGTCCAGCCATTCCATGGACAGTGCGATAGCCACATCTGGCAAAACATTTTCAAGGGTGAAAAACTCCAAGAGTGAAGAAATGGGTCCCAACTATAGTCTTGGCTCTCTGATTCTCTATTCTTCGTGGATTGTTACGTGGAAGCCCATACTTAATAGCAGAATACCTTTGCTTGGGTGATTCTGATCATTTGTAATCTTATAGTCAGTAATTAGATCACCTTTAAGCCGACAGTAGCTAAGTGCTGAAGACCTTATTTCTTCAGTCTTTCATCATATAGTTGATTTCAAAAGACCCACCATCCTGTCTATGTGCTCTTTCCAAGAGACTGGCTTCCATTTTGAGTAACAGGGGGGGCAATGAAATTATGTACTTCAGTGTGTGGTCTAACGTATGTTTTATCCAACCTTAGAAAAAGCTCAGGAGTGCATCTAACTGTCCATGTGTAAATTGTATAACCGCACATAACCTCCCTACGTCAGCCGTGAAATTCACATTTGTGTACATTAGGACTAGATCTACGTTGAGCTCTGACTATAAACAGGGCAATTTTTCGTTAGACAAAAGTAACTTGCATTCTGAGACCTACACCTGTAGAGTTGCACTACTCGCAGTTTTTCAAGTTAAAAGTCATTCCGCTGACTAGCGTCGAGTCTTCCAGAATTCTTAGGTCTAACTAAGTTTTCTGAGCACTTTATTGCTCTTTAAGTCGTCAGAATAAATAAGAGCCTGGCAGTTTATAAAAATCAAAAACGTCAATTGCCCCAGTATAGAACCCTGTGCCAGGATGACCGGACAAGATTGACATTGATGCAGAACTCCGTTCCGTCTAGCTAGCCGCCGACAACGACAGAAGTGGGCAATCAATACACACCTGACTTATTTTGTGTAGAAACGGTCGCCTTCGCAAAGTCGAGGGAGATCAAATGGACTAGAACATTCATCTGGTAGTGTGATGTCCAGTCATTTCAATATGATAATAGGCTTGTCACACAGGATCTATCTCTCCTGAAACCATGTTGCTCTTCGTGTAGTGTGTTAGTCCTATCGATATGTTGCCTGATATGATGATCAGTCAGATTTTCCAGTACTTTTGATAGCACTGGGAGTAGTGCAATTAGTCTGTAAGTCGTGGTGTTTTCCGATCCCCACTCCAGGAGAAAGGATGGCTCTCTGCTACTCCTTTGGCAGTATTCCTGAATCCATGGCAAGCTGAGACAGGTCACATATTGGCCTGCAGACGGCTTCAGGAATCTGTTACAGAAGAGATGACCTAATGTTATAACAGCCTGGGGACTTTCCAGAGGTCGTTTGTTCACGAGTCCTGGCTGGTTGAGCAGTCATTATTACAGTGCATTTCCGACCCCAAAATATATCTCGTATTTTGAGAGGTCAACTTGTCGTTTTGATTTGTTTCTGGTCACCGTAGGACAAACATCTTGGCAGTCACAGGATACGTACTTGCGTATCTTACATAAACTTCAACATTCATCATTCCCTAAAAGTGTTTTACACAGATCTCATGAGATAACCTTCTGGGTTAGGAATGGAATCCACAAAAGCGGATTCATTTTAAACTTTCCTACGCTTGAGGCAAGCACAGATTAATAATGGGTGGGGTGGTTTTATAGTGAAAAAACTTCAATCGCTTATAGTGTTCTTTACATTACTTTCCTATTTTGTTTCAGCAGCTACTTCGTACATTAGTTATTTTATTTGCCAGAGGCTTGAAGCACATTTGTTATAGTAAAGATAAGTGTACTCTGGTGAACAGACTTCATATAATAACTGAGTCAGACTATGCTGATAGAGACAAATGTAGCCCTGCAAGAGTACTCTGATTTTACCTTTAACTGTGGTTAAGAGTACATGAGTCAAAAGAGCGAATACAGAAGTGATTATAAGAATTGAAATGTGCCATGCACGTTTAGCCTACAATGAGAATCTTTTTATAAAAATACCTAAGTATATTTCGATAGTAAGTAATGAAATGGTAGAATATTCACCAACCACGCATGTGGTCTAGGTTCGATTCCCGGTCAATGCACTAACCATACCTCTCCTAGTTTATTAGTCGGTAGTAAAGTTGGAAAATAAGAAAGTAAGTTAAAAAATTCAGTCTATAATCTTGCAAGAAATAGCATAACATCTTACTGCTGGCTGTAATCATTTCAAATGTAAAGGAGTGATGATCTTAGGCTGATGTAATTTGAAATATATATTATGACTTCTCCACTAAATGCCTAGTGGATACTGTCAGGTGAAATCAGTGTACATGTTGAGGTAACCTTTCCATGGAAAAATTTCAACAAACCACTACCATAGTATTTTTTATCTTACCCAATTACCATATTATCATTATTATTAAGACTCCTATTGGTTCCGAGTGGAATGTATAGAATTTCAGAAGAACATCTCTATTTCACCTTGTTCTCTGCAGTACTTTTAAGCTGGTTACACGGTCGTCAATAAGCTCTCGTTTGCTCCCCACATGATCTCCTCCATGTTACCTTCATTTTCCAAACTCGTCATTTCTCAGCAGAGTTCCACTCTAGAGTCTGGAGTGTGATGTCCTCCACTGGTCCCATCATAAGAGGTTGTCTATTAACATGGTCAAGTGATCACATTCAGAATTCCTTCTTGGAAGTAAGTTCAACAAGGAACTGTTTGTATAAGACTGTGGCTTGAGGCATTTAGGATGTACTATATGAATGGATATAATCTTGAATCTTAAATTCACTAAATCCTTAGTGAAAAACAAGAGTTCATATTTCTTTTCTGTTGAGATGAGTACTGTTACTACGGTAGTTTAAATAACGAGATAGTTAACATTCTCATAATTTATACCTGATGGAAAAACTATGCAGATGCCATACCTGCATTTTAGAGCATGCTTGTGAGATTTCAGAATCAACCCTAAAAACCGTTTATTTATCCATCTATAGAGTATCGCTCTTCAACTTACCTGAACTGTACTGAGATGTGCTGAAGATTAAAGTATAAGCAGCTTATATCATGTCAAAGATTCACTTCAAATAAAATAGTCTGGTTACAGAAACCAAATATCAAGTGGATCTATTAGGCATTTCCGCTAAATTGTTTCGTCTGTAGTTATGAGATTTGCATGTAGTCTCTTTTAGTTGACTGAAATTCCTGGTTTTCCTGATTCTCTCGAGTGGCAAATGTTGACTCACTTGTAGTGGTGTACGTTATTTAAGAAATGCAACTTTTTAAATATTTTACTAGATTTCATATAGGTGTTTTTAAAAGAAGAAACGCCTCTGTACAACGACTTTATTTTCAAGCTGTGCTGCCATATTTATATTACTGAAAAAGGCATTAAGCGACACTAGAAATTGCTCAGTCAGAATACATTTGATAAGAATAAAGATGAATAAAATGATTTAGAACAACACATTTGAGCGAACAATATTCTTTTTTAAGTTAGATCTCGTCAGGCTTAACTCTAATATACATAAGTTTACAAATAAAAATTTAAATATAAATCAATCATGGTGTTTTGTCAATAGGATAATAAAATTGTGCAACTGATGTAACGTTCAATATATACTGTACCATCAGATGAATGGCTCTTTAACTACAAATGATATGAAAAACTGTGCAAAGCAAAATTAGATTCAGCAAGAAGTTCAACTTCATTTTAAATCAAGAAGAAAAATTAATGTGTTCCTTTCTCAGTCGAAAACTTCGCTTCCCTCATCAAAAAGTAACTAAA